GGCTTTCAACGGCTTTCGGACGATAATCGCCATAGGAGGCCTGGAGCCGACTCTTCTCGATGTGGGAATACTTTCAAAGAATGTTTTCCAGGAAAATATAGCTTTCTTAACTAAAAAAAACATAAGCCATTTTTGACCATGAAAACGTTATATAAGACTTTTTTGACCTTAAAAACGTTTGCCAGGACCAAAATTATTTTAAAGAAGGAAGGGCGCCACATTGGCTTGTGAGATTGTCAAAATTCSTAGAACAGTTACTTAGTTTTCAGTTATCACATCATTAAATCGTTTACTTTTCCAAAATTCACTAGTAAATGGATGCCTGCTATCAAAAATATCCTTACATTCTACACCATCTTGTGCTTGAGGGCATATTTTCACAGATACGGCTGTGTTTAACTTTTATATTATTGCAATATATTCATATTTGATCAGGATATTTGCTCGTTTTCCAATAGCTATTATATCAGTTCATTCTTATAAGTATATCACTATAGAATGTGGTTATTTTAGTAGATCATATATTTACTGCATGCCATTTCAATCTCAGATTATATTCTATATAATGATTTGTTGTGGAAAAACTTTGTTGGGTCATAGGTCCACGAAATACATAAAACCATAATAGCAGCTATTTTGGTGTACTTTTTTTAAATTTCTAATATGATTTGTACTCATTTTAATCACAAATAAGTAATTGCATTTCAGATATTTTGTCCATCAACAGTAGTGACAACAACAATAGCATTACAGATCAAACAAAAGGAGGAGCCAACGGGTTCTGTTTTCTAAAGAACTGGTCTTGTATGAATTTTTCCCTATGGGAAAGGGATTTTCAGCTACATCGGTGACAATCTCACAAGCAAATGTGCCGCCCTTTCTTCTTTAAAATAATGTTGTTCCTGGCAAACGTTTTTAATGTCAAAAAAGGCTTATATGTTTTTAGTGAGGACATTTTTATTTTCCTGGCAAAAATTCTTAGAAAGTATTCCTTGCCTGGAGAATTCTTTTTTCCTGAATTTCTCGCTGGCAACCAGTTGTGACTTACAGCTGGCTTGGACATAAGAACAGATATATTTCTCCCAGGAAAACATCGTCGGCTCCTCCTAAAAAACAACACCATTAAAATATAATCTTAAACATCCAGTGAGATTAGCCCAAGTCAAGTCTTTCAAAGCTAGTTGAACATTATTTCTTTCTTTCTAAACCAAGTCCAGGTTGATGCACTTGAATCTAGAGTAAATATATTGTTATTGTCAGAGCTGTCAGGTTTGTTTCTTTACGCGAAGGCATCCATATTTCCAAATATAACACAATGTCTACTGAGTGTAATCAGGTCGATTATTTAAACACAGCTTAGCCTACATGTATTTGACCAGCTCCAACAGCTGAATATCTGGTTAATGGTATAAATTGAATATCTTTGTGACTGGAAATTCATATTGGAAACTCATTCTTGAACCTTCCGACATGAAGTTGATTCTTGCTTGTGCACTTATTGCGGTTGCTTTTGCAGCCAGCCCAGAAGGTAAGAAAGAAGTCCCATGAATGTGTTTATATGGCTTTTTCGTTGTACTCTGGTAGCAAAGAACACTGGTCAAGCCTGTCATTGAGTTTAGCTTTTTTTTCCTTTCATTTCTCAAGAAAGTGAAACAGATCCCGATGTCTTTGAGGGTGATATGATTCTGACACCCGAGCAGAAAATGGCTGCCGTCAACGGTTGGGACGTCGATGCTCCTCTTGGACGAGGTGGGATCAAAAACAGAAGATGGCCTGGTGGAGTGTTTGTCTACCAAATCGATCCAGTTCTTGGTAAGCTATTAAATACAAGAGCGAAGGAATGAATATAGTGAGGAAGAATCAGAAAGGCAAGGCAGGAGTTCCTTTCGAGATTTTGTTTATTAAAATAAAATTACATCTTAATACAGTAAGCAAAACCGTACTCTTTCAGTTATCCCTTTAGGGCTCTATGAATGAAGGTATTGTAAGATTCGGCCTTAAAACTCTGTTGTTATATTGATATTTTGACCTCATTTTCCATATATGAAAAAAAAATGAAACACGACTGCATTGAATGCCGGTTAAGCATGGATCTTTAAGTAATACATAGCTACCTTTAAAAACATAATAGCCGACTTGCGAATTACGCATCAATAGTCACATACAAAGGAATCAAGACGAGGCGCCGTGCTAAAGACAATAGATTTTCACAAAAAAGCACGGCGCCTCGTCTTGATTCCTTTGTATGTGACTATTGATGCGTAATTCGCAAGTCGGCTATTGGATGAATGTACGTTGATATTAAATCTTCATTTTGTTAAATAATTCTAGCTCGCAGTAGCAAAGCAATGAATGCAATCAACGGAGCCTTCAGAGAATGGTCCTCCAAGACTTGCATCACATTCAAGAAACGAACCAACGAAAGAGCATATGCTTACTTCAAAAAAGGCTCAGGGTRAGTTTCTCATTTTCTCACGTTCTGCTTCGCTTCGTTTTTCAGTATATWTTTTTATATTTTGWTGSAGTTTCGTTTGTTTTATAGTTTTTAATCTTCTTATTTTGCGTTTGACSGTTACTTTTTGTTTTGTATCGTTTGTTTTTCTGCCGTCTTTTATGCATCGCTATGATTATTCAATTTCAAGTTCCAAAATTTTATGAAAATGTCAATGAAATTTAACTTATAAGAATGAGCTGGAGTTTTAAATCAAAATCCTACGCGGAAATTGAAAAAAACTTTTATAAGCAAATGATTTTGTTGTTGTCTCCTCGAGTGAGCAACATTAATGTAATTGACTGCTATATTTTCTGTTTTTAAAGATGTTCCTCGTATGTCGGACGCACCGGAAGTCGCCAAGACGTCAACTTGGCTTCCGGTTGCTGGCGTGTTGGTACTGTGGTCCACGAGATTGGTAAGGACTGGGCCCTAGTTTAATCTTACGTAGCACCGGCACACAAAAGATCTCATGCACACCTATAGCCTCTACGTTTGAGAACTGATCTATCACACTATACCGAGCAGGTCTAACTGGTTAATAATGGTATTCTAGAGCTCTCTGGGTCTGACCAGTCAGTTGTTTCGCCGAATCTGGTCCGCACCCAATCCACCCAACCTTGCTCTGCATGGATTACCTCCAATGGGCGAAACTGTTGGAAGCCATTTCCTAATTTCCTTCAATGGAAACTAAACTCGCAAATAAAGCAAAGAAAAACGTTTTTAGAAAATCATAATCTAGCAATATTATAAATATTATATTGTTAAACTCTGCTTATTTTGTTACGTTATTTTCAAGGTCACGCTCTCGGTTTCTACCACGAACAGTCACGCCCAGACCGTGACAATTACGTCACTATCATGTGGGACAATATTGTTGAAAGTAAGTTTTTTTTCTTGATTTGCAAACCGTCACCATATTTCGTTATTGTTAACTTGACATTCTGATCGTGTAGTTGTCTTCTAGTTTAATTCTTCCTAGGATCTCTCTCTTCCTCTTTTATTCTTCATCTTTTTCGTCTTCGTTTTAACTCTTTCTTTCTCTCTTCTTCTTCTTCGTTTCTTTTTTATTTCTTTCTTGGCTTCATCATCATCATCACCATCACCATCATC